AGAAAATTTTCTGGTTATCGCAGTATGCATAATGGCGATACTCAAAAACTCTGCGTGAACAGTAGAAATTCGTTGGAATTTTTTCTACCTCGATCCAACGTCTACTTCCGTCAGCCAAGCGCATAGTTCGCCAAATTTTCAAGCCGATTCCAGCCGACCTTACCTTCAAAGCGAATTTTCCCACGGAGCGTGTAGAATTTTCAAATCGCGGAGCATCGATCGTTGCAACGCCACGTTGTAAAATCCATCTGACGTCGCGCTTCGACGAAATATCGCTTGTAATCGCTTCGCGTAACGTTTCGCGGCTTTTTCCGACTCGCGTCCCAGCAACGCGTTGAATATTAAAGCGCGGGCACGCTTGTAATTTTCGCTCGCTTCCTCCAGCCGAGGAACAATAGAACCGGGAAACCGTAAAATCATTTTATTTTCCATCGTACTGTCACGCGAGGAAATATCCGTGAAGAAGAATGAAAAAAAAAAAAGAAAAAAAAAGAACAGTTATCGACGAGGATGCCGACGGAGAATATCGAGTATCGCAGCGCGCGGTGTAAAGCAAAAAAAAAAAAAAAAAAAAAAAAAAAGGAAAAAAAAAATAATCGCGCTTACAGTACCGATTTGTATTTTTACGAGTTTCCCAAATAATCCATCCACACATGCCCGCTTACGATACGCTTAAGTCTGTGAGTCAGTCTTTGAAACGTAGCAGTGTTATCAATATCAAAACGGCGGAACCTTCCACCCTCTCCTCTACCCCCCCCCCTCCCTCCCCCTCTCTCCTATTCAGCCAGCGTAGCGCAAAATGAAAGGAAACGTAAGTGTCGCCGGTCGTTCGCGCCGGTGGACGTCCCTCCTGTCGTGTTAACGATAAGAAAAGCGAATTGTACCACCGTCGTTGCTGTATATCTTGGAAGTGATGTTTCTCTGTTACGTACAGCATGGCACGCGAAAAGCAGTGACCCGTCATCGGCGGCGACGAAACGAGCAGCGGTGTTATTGCGGCGGTGCATTGTACGAAGATATAATAAAGCACGAACTGCTGGAACATCATGATTCGTCGCACGTCACCTCCAACGTGATTTCTCTTCTCTCTGTCTGTCGTAGATGTACATGTACATACATACATACATACATACATATATATATATATAGACGATCGACCGCTGTGCGGACACCGATCTCTCTCGTTTCACGCACATATACCTGAAACTTACGATTACTCCTGTTGTTCTCTCCCTGTGCACCGATCAATTGTCCACGATCATCACCACAGTTTACGGCAACGCGATGTGTTAGAGAGGGATCCGAGGTTTTATTTATGGTTGACGAGCGGAGAAATTCTGGATTTCTATGCTTCTGTATCTCGATTTGCCGTATTTCACATTTCCCTACGAACACCTCGAAATATTGAAATTTACTCTCGCGCGTATCGCAGAGAAAAGTAGAAATTAAGAGTTTCTCTGTTTACGCGCTCGTCGCGAGAATCGGAGATCCATCAGAGTAGTGAAAAAGAATTTACCAGTTCGAAGTGGAAAATTGAGAGATACTGCGAAAGCATCTATCGCTTTCTATTAACTTCTTTTTTTCTTCGTTGATTCATAAATAACGTTATATGCGCAATGTTAGTTCGCTCTGTGCCGTAAGCTCGTTGAAAATTCCCCCAACACACGGCTGATCCTCTATAATGTGCCAATTTCACATACACACACACACACACACACACAAGTGGTTGCAGTATGCGTGGACCAAATTAGGTAACTTTTACGTGTCTGTGTCTTTAGCCCATTCTCCTCGTTCACCGCCGTTAACATGTTATTGTCTTATGTATGTACAGCCTGAACCTCTGAATGATACCAAGGGACGTACCGCGAAGAAACAGCGAACGAAATTACGATAAACGATTGGATCAGCGACGAGAATCTCGGCCTGGAAATGAAAAATCTGCCTTTTGCCGGTGTCGATGTACCTTGCGAATGAAACTTCTCAATCCCCCCACGAACCTTACTTACAGCACTTACAGAGATTTACCATTTCCATGCCACCGATTAGAATCCCTCGTGGAATCCGGATGCAAGAAACTCGTATCACGATTTCTTGGCACATTTCACGCCGATCACGTAAAAGCGCACGCTCTCTTTTTTTCTCGTATACCTACGCTTTGACCATCGATTATATAAAAATACGTCTGTAGTATGATAGTCTGAAGATCACAGTGCGGCGAAAGTTGAGATTTCGAGAACTCGGAACATTTCCAACAATTTCAATAATTTCCAATCAATTCGTTCTTGCTGCGAGTTTTTTGACTTTCTATTCCAAAAAAATTCGTAGTCTATTAAAAGATCGATAACTGACCGAGTTTCTATGCTAGGAATTAAATTGTAATTTCTAACACAATTTCGTGAGAACTGACCTGCGCCGAAAGTCTCAACGTTCTAACAAAAAAAGAAATTATTTTTTAAACTAACGTCAATAAGGGAAGAGACGTATTTTTGTGCGATGAACGCGATGAAACGATAAAACGCGTTAGAGAAGGAGACGTGTGTGGATTTTTAAGTGATCGGCGGTGGAACGCGTTAAACCGGCTCGATGTTTTGCTTGATGGTACGCGTCCTATTTCTTTGCATTCGCACGTACGAGATGCAGGGCCAAGAATACCGTTACCCTAATAAGGAACCCTTCTGGGCAGACACTCGATGGTAGAGTGCAGTTCCAATGGAAATCGAGCAGAGAGAATTCAGCAGCGTCAGCAGCAGTCAGTCCACCAGACGAGTTGTCGATAGTGCAGTACCTGCTATGTCACTGTGTAGAAGTTGTCGTATTCCCTTTCTTCCCCGGATCCCTATTATTTACCCATCATTCGTCAACTATTCTTTCCTCATCCACTTTCCTCTCTCTCTCCTTCTCTCTGTATTTTTCTTTTTTATCCCCCTTCTTTTTTTAGCTCTCTTTAAAGTAGAACGTAGCTTCCGATGCACGCCCGATGCAGCCATCCGACCATCATCTCTCTCCTTCGTGCACTATCCTTCGAGAACGTTGTTAAGAGATCGGGTGAGGCCATTCTCGCAGCGACTTTTCTACAGAACAGTGCGGCTTGAACACCTCGAGAATCCTTGCCCCCTATCGATGGTTGACCAGTTTCATATCTACACGTCAAACTATTGTTGACGAGCAATGTGACAATTTTCTGTTTGTACATGCTTGACTGAATGATCAAGCAAAACGGATTCGTAATCGTTTACTTCGTCCGAAAGTAAAAGCGCACGAAACGAAACCAGAGGGTGATGTTTCCTATGAAACTGGTCTTTAGAATGCATTCGTTGTCTGTCTATCTTTACGCTTCACCGTCTCACTTACATATTATCTACATACACCAGCCGTTTGTAATGTCTCCTTTTTTTCTTCTCTAGAAGTATATATATATATGTGGATGGTAGACACTGTCACATCTTTTCTTTTCTTTTTTTTTTCTCACTGTTTTTTTTTTTTTTTTTCTTTCCTT